CTCTTTGCTGGCTGAACCCAGCACAGTCTGGTACATTGGTTTTGAATTAAAAATTAAAAACCACTTTCCACAGAAGAGAGGCTGGACAGATGCTGTTCATAGCCTCTCATGTCTCTGTGGTGACTTGAAGGTGACTCCAGCTTGTGTTGTTTCTCAAACAGTCAGTACTGAACTGTGAGAAACAAAGCACAACTAGAACAAGGCAGTGTTATACATACCTCATACCCTCAAGGCAAGACGGGGGGTTTACTATTTCTGGGTTGTGTATCTATCTTCTCAACAAAAATCCCAAACATAGCCTCATACTAGGTAGTGTGAAAAAATTAACTCTATCCCAGCCAAAATCAGCACAGCACATAACACTAAAGGTTACCTTGAAGGAGACTTGGTTATGTTAATTTTTGGTTTAATGCTCCTTTCCATACATTTCAGTGTCCAAGATGTAGAGCAGAATCCTGACTTCTTAGGTACAGTCTTAAAATAGAGGTACTACGACAACACTAAAATCTCTCCAAAACTCATCTGTATCTCAGACTTTAGGGTGAACTGATCTCACCAATCTTTACCTGTCTCATCTAAGCTTCGATGTCACTAGGATTCCTCTGTTCCTCAGAGACCACTGGCTTTCCAGTTGCTGCTGCAAGTCTAAGGAAGTCTAGCCCAGGTACTGCCAGTGCAGCCATGTGGGAGCTTTGCCATCCACCTGAACTGAGCTGTGTGCTCCTCAGCACGCTGAGGACTCAGATTGTAATTTGCTTTTGCCTGAACTGATCCCTACAGTTAGCTTTTGCATTACACAGAGGTAGGGGATGATGTAATGGGTGTCTGCTTTACCTGGATATTTTTTACAGCTTTTCCTGGAGCTACACCCCCAATGTAGAGCGGTTTCGTGACTTGCCAAGTATCAGCATTACCGCTGAAAGGTTCTTCCAGTACTCGGAGACCATCAATTGTCAAGCGACCAATATTTTTGCCTCTAATAAATATCACCTAGAAAGGGAGGAAAAAAATTTGGAAGTTTACTTTCATCTGTTGAGGGAACACTCCCAGGCAGTGGAAAAAGATAAGAAGTTTGAGAAAAGCTTGGGAGTGATACTCTACAGGCTTGTTTTATTAACTGCCAATATTCTTTGCTGGACCACACTTTTTTCATGTTCGTGTAAAGGCTAGATAGTAAATCTGCTGTCTTTATTTCGTTTTGGTATATAAGGCAGAGGTAGAGTGTCACCAAGTCTACTGAGATCTGCCTATCTTATGTTTGCACATGTGATTCATTGCTACAGTGCAATCACTGTTAGCGTTTCTGTGGTCTTTGCCATTTTGCTTTAAACATTTAAGTGCCCAAGTTAGGAACTTAGTAGCTGTAGACTTCCTCTGTAGTTAGAGTGTAGAGAGAGGTGTAGAGGGAAATTCACCTTGACCCCTAAAATAGTATTTTTATTTTCATAGACTACAGAGGGATCCTAAGATGACTCTGCTCCTTGCTTAGGCATTTCAAAGAAGTTTGCTGAACAGAATTATCCTAGTCTTTCCTTTCCTGGCTAGTGTAACTCTTAGTTGTCTCACTGTTAGACTTGTTTCTGTCACTTCTGTTCAGCTGTTAGTGTCGGGCATTGCTGGATTTTATAGCTGATTCACTTTCCTGTCCCTGGTTCATGACTTGATAAAATGCCACATCAAAGATTTAAAATATTGGCAGAAGCTTCTCAATGTAAAGGTGTGGTTATGAACACATGAATGAAAACTGTCTGAGCTGTCACACTAGCAGTGTCATTACTGCAGCCTTGACAGCATGTGCCATCATAATGATTGCTTTCTTCTACTTACGTTGTGCCAAAGGCCATCATTGTATTTTTCTTGGCTCTTAATCCTTATCTTCTGATGACCAGCATTAAACATAAAAATGAGTTGACCATGAGCAACGAAAAGGGCCATGAAGTTGGTCTCTTTTTGATCCGAGATGTAGAAAATCATTCCATCAGATGAATGAGTTTTCAGATTGATAGAGAACTGAGCTCTGGCACATATAAACACAACATTAAAATTAGAGCAGATATAATTGACTTAAATCTAACTGTAGTAAGGGAAATAGCGAGATTGTCCTCTCGTCTAGAGGAATGTACATCTCTATGATGGAAGTGGTTTTCTGAGAAATATTCTGTAGTGTTGTTTGGAGCAGAAGTCAAACTTGAAGAAGAAACTGCCTTGCAAAGAACTTGTTTTCAGAAGTTAAAATCTCTGGAGTGAATAAAATCAATACAGACCACCAATAACTGACAGTGTATACACTGCGTTTCCATTCCTGTTGAACAGCAGTGTTGGGGGGGCTTGTTAGCTGATAGCATGGTGGCCTGGCAGCTCACGAATCTTTAATTTTATTCCAGACCCACTGCTAAGCTTCTCCTTCTTTGTAGTTCCTTGGAAAGTCCAAGGCAACATGGCAAGTCATACCAACTTGGTTTGACACTGTCAACAGTGAAGATTTCTTGAGTGATTGGTATTGTTACTTTGGGTCTGAAAAATGGCAAAGCTGTACTGGTGGACAGTGCCAGAACTGATCAGTCCTGCTTCTCATGTCAGGTGACTAGCCTAGCTTCCATTCTTTGTATTGCCTGAAGGTTCTCTATGTTCCCCATTGCCTGTGTGTGTACATTCAACACACACTTAGGCCCTTGCCAATATCGATTGTTTTAAAACATTGCAGGTCACTCTTATTTTAAAAAGCACATTACAATGATGAAGCTCTAATAACAGTTGTAAAGCAAATATATCTTGTAGGGATGAAGAGTCAGAGTTTGGGTTCTCCTTCTTCATATGGGCACCATCAGGACTGCCCTAAGTAAAACACTATTGAATTAAAAGAAGTGTAATGCCTTTTTTTTTTTTTTAAGTCAGGAAATAGCACTCTTCTTTTCTGAGTTAGTGGTCTGGTATGCTTCCAGGAAGTGCTGTGTTGTTGAATTTATAGTCTTTCATGGAAAGTATTAAACCAAAATCCTTTGTTGGTCATAACATACCATATGGCATATTCTGTGGGAGCCTGAGAATTAAATGTCCACAATATCTGGACTTGTATTTCCATTATGGCTTGAATTGGACATGTTTTTCATAGCTTTATGTCCTACTGCACTGTGTGTAGATTCCTGACCATTAAACGTCTGCCAAGGTCCACTCGACACATAACAGCTCCATTTATTGGTGAACTATGATGCTCTTTTCCAGCTTTGCTGTAATGCCATTGCTTCATGCATAAAGAGGCCGATGGTGGATTGCTTATATAGAACTAGCATCCTACAAGTGGGCAAGGAGACACATTTCTTTAATATACAATGCAGATCAAGACTCCGCAAAAGGGATGTAATTGGAAACACTCTATTTATTGCACTTGCTCAACTGAAACACCATTTAATGTATCTGTCTCCTCCCCAGTGCATTTAACTTTTATTTCTAAGGTCCTGTTACCTTTCACTGAAATCCTCTGGTATGTGATCAAATTCTTGCCGGCTGTTTGCTGTTCCTCCAAACTGATAAGCATGTTCAGTTGCCTTGGGATTCATGGGCAAGTGACACTGAGGGTCTCTTTGCATATTCGCTTCTTGATACAATTTTTTGAGGCCAGCTGAAGGCTGTGAAATCTTGTCTTTATCTCTTCCCGCCTTCATAGAAAGAGAACCATTAACCAGGCATTTTAACTAAGACTGGACAAAATAAAAAGAACAGTATAATTTATATATAAGCTAGTAATATATTTTTTTCCTTACAAAAGTACCAGGAATGGTTCTAAGTCAATTTTTCCATGGATGGATGTACTATAGATGCTGATTTAGGCCAGAAGAAGGCATAAACAGAATACTTAACGTAGCTAACAATTACAATTCAATTATTTTGCAGTTTTCCTAATTGAATCTTTTCCTCTCTGCTTTTGATGATATCAGCTATACTATAGGCATAGGAGGACATGCTTGGACTAGAAGTTCTGCATGCTGGGAGAGGGCTTTTCTTCATATTTATATTAATGCATGCTAATTGTACCCAGTAGAAAAAGGCACACAGAAGTAGCTGAGAACAGATGCAAACTTACTGCCTTTAGGATACAGAAGAAATCAAGAAGGCTTGTTTCTGCAGTACTTTTTTTAAGATGTTACAAATTTTGGTTTACAGTTCTAGTAAGACAAAATGATGCAAGTGTAGGCCAGATAGATTGGATCAGGACAGTGGTTTGCAGTGATGGAATATATAAAGGAATATGATAATTTCCTTCATATATTTGAAATATTTTTCCTGTGGTACATTTTAGATCCATGAGTTAGAGAATTCCCAATCATGACACAGTTTGTATCAACTTTGGAAAACTCTAGGGTGGTACTAGGGTGATTTGTACCAAACCTTTTTATTACGGTTTCCTTCGGCTTTTGATGAGTTCTTTCCTTTCTTATGGAGAAGAGGAACTGGAGGAGATTCAACAGGGCATCCATACAAAGAAGTCTGAACTTTCTCAGGGTACTGCTGGAAATCTTCCACTTCAACCTCTTGATCCAACCTGTGTTTCAAAGAGGGGATGACAAGAACAGCTTTTTTACAAGTGTTGGAACTATCTTCATAAAAAACACAGAATTTTACATTTATAGTTCAAATGATGTTCGGCTGGATTTTTTTTAATTCTTGGATCATGGATAAAAGTACAAATTTATGAGTCAATGTTTGGGTAATGTCGGCTGCCTCAACTACTCTGCCTGTTGTATCCATGCTTGCAGAAACAGTCTCAGTCTGCAGCATCAAATTCACTTTAAAATCTTCAATATAAGAACATCTCATAAAGTGATTAAGATCAACGAATTCTGACCATTTTCACTTGACCAAACTCCTAACTTCCCCAGCTTCTGTGAGATGCTTCAATACAATTTTGTTTCAAATGCAGAGCTGAAAACTACATAATATAAATGTAAATTACAGCCATGAAAATTACACATTGCACCACCAGCATTAGCAGGTGCAGTACTGAAAGCTGACTTACATCGTTATTTTCACTTTAACAATATCGTAACCTATCAGGTCTGTGCCAACAGATTCTACAGCAAATAAGGCAAGAATCTTATTCACACATACTGTCTAGTTTCACAAAATGAGAAAGAGATTTTTATTGTGACAGTAAGTCCGTTCTCTTGAGCTGCTATGTGAGCTGTCAGGCAGGGGCAGCCTGGCAATGTGTTTGGGCGGATACGACGCACCTAGTGAAGTAAGCGTTGCTTATGCAGCCAGTGAAGTTGGCTTGCTGCGTTCTGAGGGGAGAGCCGCCAAAATAAAACTTCTTTACGCTGTCCGGACTTTTCCCAGCACTGTCCTTGGCTGGATTCTTCTTGCTTTGTTTGTTGTCATCAACAGTCAGCTCGTATCTGCAAAGACAAAGCATCTGTTTTGTAGGCCAGTTTCAGAAATGTCAATGGCAGTGGTTAGACAGCATGTTACATGCACCCAAAGTGCTCCATGCTGTGTATACATCACTGAACACCTCGCTTACAGCTGTGCAACAAGTACCAGTGCAATTAACCCACTGGCAAAGTTGAGTCCAGAGGCCCATGCATTTCATAATATCCTGGGGTTAATTGTAAAGTTCAAAAAAATACAGTCCACTCAGTGAAGAGAGAGAAACTAACGGGTTGCTAATAAACGGATGGAGCCACCGCTTGGGTAAAATAAGATCTAAGCACATGCTAATCTTTCTTCTTTATGCACCTAGTCCTTCTCTTCCATCACAGTACACTGGTGTTTGAACTTATTTACCTCTTTTGATTTTACAACACAATAATTGCCACCTAAGTCAGGAAGGCCTCTATTGCTTTAATAAGAAAGTAGCATAACTAAAGCCTCAGTCACTGAATTTGTTTGGCAAGTTTAGCATTCAGCACACTCAGGGTAACATGACAGTCCCCAGTGCTATTCCAAAGCATCTCTTCGCACCTTCAGCTTTTCAAACTATGTTTCTTGGATGTCAGAAGTCATAGGTACAAATCTCCATTTCTCTAAAGAAACTGAAAATGACCTGGTTGTATCTGCAAAGGCAAGATTCTTCAAGAAAGATGCTTTGATTATTTGACCTTCTAAGAAAAGTCTAATCATATAAAACAACAGTAAAACATACCAATAAAACAATACTTTCATTTTTTTTTAAGAAGCACATAATGAGAGTTATTCCCTACTGCTGTATTTAGTTTTACATTTATGTATTTCAGTGCTAAAAATATTTTAAACATGTTCCACTCTACATATCCCAAATGAGTGCTTTTTTTTTTTTTTTTGAAGGTGCCTCAATTACTTCAGGGTCAATTTGGGATTGCTTTAATTGCTTGAACAAATCAGAACAATCAATCCTAAAAAAATCTCATACTAGTGTTAAATTTTATTAAACTGCTTTCATACTGGAGGACAAAAAAAAGGACTAAGGTTTCAGAAAAAAAATTAGGTTAGTTGTACTAAAAATTCCCAGCACCTCATGCATAGGCCAAGCTGGCCAGTTTTCAAACACATGGATCTTTGGTTTTGTATTATTTTTTTAACTGAACTGATCAGTTAAAAATGCCACATAAAAAACTGCACTTAAACATCACTTTGACAGTGAATATTAAATGATAATGTTATTTACATGTATATTTATATTCTAAAGGTAGGGAATAAAAGATGCTGGACAGCTTTACCTTTCTGGGGTGACAGAAGTAATGACAAAGTGTGTTTTTCCATCGTTGTAATTTCGGTCTGGTGATTGAATTTTGGTTCCACTTGCATTTAAAACCACAGCACCTCTGTCCATAGAGATGGATAATACATCTGACTGAAATACAGACAAAAATATCTTCATAAACAAGTGTAACACAGAAAAATTAGCAGTTCTGTACCTTTTCCTGTTGTATTTATTTTTCTTCCTGCTGTTTTCCCAGTTGTGCTTTATTTGCAGAAAGGTATACCGAGAGGCAAAACAGGAGATGATCTCATTAGAATTGATTTTCTTGCTGTTTTTTAAGCCTGAATTCTGGGAATTCTGCTGCTCATTGTCTCACGTATCTGTCATATGAGCTCCTTCTGTCTAGCAAGGATGTATGATGTTTACATTTCATTTGTGGTTCTGGTACCCCAGTACTGTATAGAGCAGCTGTTACTGCAAGTTTCCTGCCGTCATAACACCAATACATTTTTTCCTTTTCCTAATTCCCTCTGATCAGATGTATTCAGTCACTCAGAATGATCTCAGAGATGACCTGCTGTCTGGGTCAGGCACACGGGATCACTGTGCCACATAGCAGGGATATTGTCTGTTCCATCAGAGCAAGCACTGCTCCTGTGCACTGGTAGGAATCCTCCTGTCTCATTCTGTCAGGTGCTAAGTAGCTGGACCTCTGTTTGTTAAGTAGGGCACTTGGCACTTGGCAAAGGATTAGAGCTTTTCAGTTAAACCAGAAGTGGTGAGTAAGGCCTCATTTATGCAAACAATGTGCATAACTGACATGGTTACTGATTTCAGTTTAAGGCAATACTCCAGACTGTGAAATGTAACAGTTCAGGAGTGGTTACTGATGTCATACAGCCTTTCCTGCTGCAATGCTGATGTTCCACAAGTATGGCAGAACAGACGTTGGGGGGTGGTTGCAAATGTTCTGTCATCTACGCTCATGCTTGCCGCAGATGTCAGTGTGAGCCTGCAGGATCTTGGAATTGCTTTGGCTCACACAACATCTTGGGAATGCAAGTCTATATTTCTGCTTGGGAGTGCAAGTCCATATTTCTGCCCATGTCACACCTCTGAGGGCACATTTAGAGTAGCCTGGCTTCCTGTAGCTGCAAGGAGCCATCCTCAAGTGCAGTTTTTCCCAGTTATGCATGGAGGTCTAATTACCATCTGGGGATACAGGCAGCTTTCCAAGTGATTTCTGTAAACTCAGCAATGCTCAGAATACCATCCCACTAATCCAAACAAACTTTGTCTTTGCTTCTAAGGGATTTTCTGGGTGGAAAATGTCAGGCCTTTAATATTATTTGTACTTTGGTAGCACCTACAGGTCCGAACAGGGATTGCAGTGCTGCTGAGCACAGTCAGATCCAGTGCTTTTCTGCCCTAAGGACTGTATTGAGCACCAGTGGATGCATGTTAATTCTAGGCATGCGATCAAATCATGTTTGCAACATCAAAATAATGTCTAGGCATTGCTGGTTTTCACCCGTAGGTCGCATGTGAACTGTGAAAATGAGGCCGTCAGTGAATGGTTCTGTACTGCGGGCTGCTTTCTCTTTTTATGAAAACACGAAGTGAGACGTGTTACTCCCGTAGTATTCCCCTGGGAAACAATGCAAGGATAAAATAAAACAAACTGTACAGAAATGTATCCTCACCCCTTCAGAATAGTAGAACAGCAGCCCGTTGGGCTGCAATGTCCGGAAATTAAAGCCTCCTTCAAATTCACTGAAGAGGGACACTTTTTGGCTTGATGCAATGAAACTCTCTCCATTGAAATACGCTTTGCGGGACATCTGTGTATGAAATAAAACAAAATTACACTAAACTGCAGAAAACATTCAAATAATGTAAAGAATGAAGCAATTTTTTTTTTTTTAAAGATGCAATCAGTTCAGTTCTACAAAAATGTCAATTTTTCCTCCATGTCTTTACCTAATTTATGTAAGTTTTTGCTCGCTTGCTGTGAAAACCTGAAGCAAGTGTAGCAGTTTTTAGACAGTGTAAGCCAAATTGTTCTCAGTTTCCTGGGATTCTTGGCTCCATCCTAAGCCTGCTGATGTTAGTGAGCATGAAGAGGGTCTCAGAGAGGGGGGGGGTCTCAAGCTCCTGTCAGAGCTGTGTGGCACTGAGTCAGCACCCCAACATGTGCTCTTTTAGTTTGTGTGCTGTACTGAGTGCTGGTGTGGGGGGCTGGCCATGGCAGGCTGAGTCTGTGAAGGAAAGGTGGGTCTGAGGTAGGACAAATTGCAGGTAGCTCCCGTGCAGACAGAGTGTGAGGGGTTCTACAAGTGGTGGGCTCCTTCATCTTCACAGGTTTGCAGCATGGCTGCAAACACTCTTTAGATTTACCAGCCTTGCACTGTAATGAACAAATGATGAATAAGGGACGGGATTAGAAACCAAATGGCAATTTTCTCAGTGTTAATGCTGGTGCAATTTGTTTATGTGTCACAGAGGAATAAATGGCCTGATGCAAGGGGAGAACTTATTTGAAGGGTGAATATCTTGCTGTCTTTTTCATTTCATATAGCTGTATTAGCATGCATGTGAAGACAATTCTCCTTATTTCTTTAAGAAAGAACAAATTATATTTGAATATTTCCGTTAAGAATACAGCACACAATTTATTTCAGATCCAGTTTTGACACTGCAATCTGAAATATGATGAGAATATTAAGTAAAACATCTGTGCTGTAATCTAGGGTGAAAATTGGATAGTATGTCAGCAAACTTAACACATACACCCCCACCTCACCACCTCCGCCAGTCAATGAGTGCATTGTCATTTCCTTGGTTCAAGACTTTCTTTCCATTGTTTGGAGTAAAACTCAAGCTCACAGTTAGATCCGTTACCAAAATTTTGTTGTTATCTCACAAATGATGTTATGCTTACCAGTGAATCCTCTGGGCACCCATAGCTGATTCCCAGAGTTCCTGGTTCTTCTAACAAGTTGAAATCCTTCTTTTGGAACTGGAAACCCTTCATACAGCCTTTAAAGCCAATACTTCCTGCCAGATGTGAACTAATGCTGTTGGAAAACAATGCCAAACAAGTTGCAGTTAGAGAGCCCTTGCCTTTATGAACAGACTTTTACTGCTAAGGTGTTACAAAAAACTTGGGAGAGCCTCACTCGTTTGCCTCACTAGTGCCCAATTCCTGCATCTTTATGTAAAACAACTAAACCACATTATGTGTTTTGAAAAGTCAAGATGCATCAGATGTAATAAATGTTATGGGGAAAATATATGAGAGTTCAGAGAGGAGATCCATATGGAGTAACTTTAAAAAGATAAAAATAGCTGCTGAAATGAAAAGTCTTATTTATAAATGGATTTCTACCCACTTGGAGTGAAAATCAGTGGATTTCTATCTCCATTTTTTTAGCATTTTAGAAAAGTTCTGGTTTAGTTTTCTTGTCTTGCTTTTCCTAGCAAACTCCAGTGTTGTTTTGGGAAGCAAATGGGTCTCTATTTAACAAATAATAACAGAGGTCAGGGAAGTAGGAGTAAATACTGATTGCTGATGTGTGGGGTTTACATAGTTGTAAATGAGAGCAGCAGATGGGCTTCCAGGATCCTTGTTATATCATATTTGAGGTGGATAGCACAGCTGCTATCCCAACTGCTTCTGTTCCCTGCTCAGTTTTTCAACTCTGCCTCTCACCAAGGTATCACAGCATTAAGGCACAGGGCAAAGATAATTGAATTTATCCTCACAATACTCAGGAGATAACTGGAGAATAAATGTACTGAAGGAGTGAATGTGAAATGCAGAGTTTTGACCTGGTTGTGCTTTCTGCAGGATGGACCTTAGCAGTGGGATTCTTCTCACTTCACATGTGATGACACTGACAGTGTTGACATCTGCTTCTGGGCTAGCTGCCTGTGAGTTATCTCATTGTAAGGTAAACACGACAAATGAATCAGACTCTGAACACGCTAATTTTTCTGCATTGGCGAAAAGTGGACCATCAGGTGAAGTAGCACAGATGAACTTGTCTGAAATAAGGTGAGAGGAGGAGCACTGTAGGGGCTTCACCTGCTTCTAAGCAAAATCAACAGGAAGGAAAAATCATCAGGAAGACTCCTACCATCCTCACTGGGATTTGGATCAGTGTGGGGTGTCAGTCAGCCAGTTTAATCTCTACTCTGACTGACCATGTGATTAGCTGGATGCCACAAACATGCCTTTCCGTTAAATGCTGTTAGCGTAGCAACATTTTCTAGGAGCAACAGGAACTATAGAAGATAGGTTTTAACCTGAAGAAAGGCTTCTGAGTTCCTTAACAGTTCCCGGCACCCAGCGCTCCTGCCTCCCCTTAGCTTTCTGCTTTTTCTGCAGTGACTGAGTTGGGAGAAAAATAACATATAATGGTACTTCCAGATTCATTTATTTGGGAAAGAAGGCAATTGACAGAGGAACGTGCTGTTGAAGCAAGTGAGAATAGACTGCTTTGAAAGAATATTGAACTCCTTCTTTAAGACTGCAGCTAGTTTCCCCCCTTGCTGCTGCCCTACGATGTCCGTCAAATATAAATCATTCTAGAAAAAGAAACCATAAATATCAGTAGTAGATACTAGTAGTAGTAGATAAATAATAGCAGATCATCAGTAGATATAATTGTTAGGTTATGTAGATATAATTATTAGATTATGCTCCTGATGAAAATGGAAAGATGTTGCTACATTTGGTCCATACTTCTTGCTGTTTACCCTTGTCATGAGAACCAAAGCAGGGTAGATGATCCAAGGCAAAGGTGTAGCTCTATACTTCAGTATAAAATTTTCCATGTTATAATTAGTTGTATTTTTACAATGCCTATGGATTTTTTTTTTTCTGATATGACTTGTTCATTAAGACACTGTTTCTCCTGCTGTAACAGTACCTTTCGGGTGTTTTGCAATTTGGCCACAATTCACTCAGAAAACTGCAGGCACAATTCTTGTGATTTATCTTGTATCCTACATCTGTGAACAAATTTAGTCTGCCATGGAGTTGCCCAATTGCCTAGGTTTCTAGGTCCTTCTGGGCTTTTTTAGTGTTCTCTAGGCTTGATTAACCAAAGTAATTTTCACTATCCTTTTGTGCTTTGTTTCTAGATCATTAATGTGTTTAATACCAGCCCTAAGAGAGATCCTTTGGGCATGTGCTGCAGACTTTTTATACTGTGAGATTTGAAGAGTTACTTTGTGTCCTATTTTCTTTTTCCCACCTGCTTTCTCATCCCTTCCAGCCTTTCCCCCTTCCACCCCACTGATTTTCTTAATAGCCCCATATGACAGACCTTTGTAAAGAAGTATTTGAATGGCCAGCTAAATTGTATACTCTGCTTCTCCCTTGCCCACCGTTTTGTTTGCATGTTCAAATAATTGCATGGGATTGAAAGGCATAATTTTCCTTTACGAGAAGTTTGTCCCCATCTTAAAAGCTTAATCTGTAAGTGTTTTATGTCTCAGACATCATTTATCGATTCAACAGGCTCTCCTGACAACAAAATAAGGTTTCAGGAGATTTACTACTAATTCCTAGAAACTATTGTGCAACATTTGCTATCTTCAAACCCACCCCCCTCCTTTTTTTTTCTTTTACATAGAGAGTATTTTAAAGACAGATGGTATTTCTGTTAGCAGTTGTGACACTTAAAACAGCAGCTGGAGCCCTTCTAAAAATGCTGGCCTTGCTGTCTGACCCCGGGAATGAATACTGCCTGTCAGAAGAGCACCCCCTTCTTGAAGCAGCCAGCCTGCTCTCCCGGAGTGTGACCTTGGTCCGGCAGATTCCCACTGCAGGAAATGAGGGTTATACAGTCTACCGAGATTAAGCTTGGTTTCTGTCAAATGGTATGATGGGAAAATGAGACTACTTCTTTTCTTCCCACGCCCACACAGAGCCAGCTGACCTGGGTCTAGAGGGACACTGGGATGGATCAGAACTGAAGTGCATAGTAGGAAAAATGTAATTTTTAGATTTGAAAACGCAGTTGGCAGAGGGTTTTGATCCTTCAGCTAGTGCATTGCTATTCTACAAGGATCACTTTTTGCAGAGCAAGGAGAAATAGTGATCCTGGATATTCATGTGTTCTTTGAAAATGCCTTTTTGTTTTAAAAAGACAATAGTTTCTGTTACCCTTACTAAAACTAGACCAGTTTCAACAGAGTTTACCTGTGGTGGATCAAGCCTAATCCTTGGTGCTCAGAGTTCTGAGAGACATTTAGAAGAGTGCCTGAGGGATTGTTTTACATAACATGTTGAAACTGGGAAAAAATGTTTTATTGTAAGCCCTTCAGCACAAGTCATACAACATAACTTAAATATGGTGATTACTTGGAGATGGTGATTGAATCCCAATTGTAAACCAACCTGGAGTGCAAGATCTCAGCAGGTGCTCCTCCAATGTAGATGTCTGTGAATGGCATTGCTGTTCTTTCATTGTCCACACTTTTTATATGTCGTCTGTCTACTACCAAGATCATCTTCTTTGAATTGTGATATATAATAGAAATCTGAAATGAAAAACATGCGCTTAAAAGTGGCCAAAATGTCATCTTTTGTAAGTTGTCATGGTGATTTTGTAAAATTGATTGCATCTTTATATCTTTTTGTTTGAAAAGTTTCTCCCATTTATCAAAAAAGTTGTTTGCAAATCAGGAGGGGCTGACAACAATTGCTAGCAGGGAATTTATTTTGATGTCACAATTTCTCTGATGACTGAAAAGCCAGGATATTTCACTTATGAGTAAATCCACATGGAAGTACCCCGCAACTGATTTTATGCTGTGGCATATAGATAAGCTCCGTTAACTTCAGAGTACTTTCTTGATTTATACAAGAAGTTAAGGCATACTTCTTAAAAAACTTACTTCATTGCCAAAGCTTAAAAGACAGTTGTGCTCTGCTTAAACAGGGTGAACAGAACTGTAGCTGTAGTTGTGGATCAGGAATCAGATTTTGAATTTACATCAGGTAAATGGCAGGAGAAACAAGCCACTAAGGGGGATTTGCTACTGTTACTGTCACAGTTATACTGGCTTAAAGCAAATTCTCTTAAACCAAATGCAAGTAGATATTTTAGATCTGCCAAAGTCCCTAAAATACTATGCATATAGAAAAGACGGCTGTCAACTTAATTCTCCCTTCAAATGAAATGGGAAATGCAATATTTCATAGAACCATAGAAGGATTCACAGAATGGTTTGGGTTGGAAGGGACCTTAAAGACCATCTAGTTCCAATCCCCCTGCCATGGGCAGGGACACCTTCCACTAGACCAGGTTGCTCAAAGCCTCATCCAGCCTGGATTTCTTCTAACACAACGCAAAACAACTAAGGTGGTCAAGTTAACATAATGACATGTTCTTAGTTGAGGGAAGTATTTGAAGGACATAGTTGTCCTGGATATAATTTTGTTTTGAATTGATAACACTTTTTTCTCTCAAGGACTGTCCCATCCTTGACTAGTAATACACATATCCTGTCCACAAGCAGTGATTTACCAGGAGGAAGGGGAGCCTTCTCTTTCCACCGCAAAGTAGTGGTGGGACTTGCATGTGCTCTTTCATATACAAGACAGACATGCACTCTACTGCCTGCTCTACTGCATCACCAACTGGCTCCTTATCCTTTTGCTCCTTTCATTGGTGTTTTAGCAAATTATTGCTGCTTTGGAGCTGCTGGAATAGCTGGTCAAATGGCTGTGTTTGCAACAGCATCTCTACCTCATGAAATTTAGCATCGTTAATCTGAGCCTTCTTCATCGAGTCCTCTAGCAGCACAGGGCCGGTGCTGAAGCCAAAGTCATAGCGGAGGTACAAGAAACCATTGTGCATCTCAAGGCTGAAGAACATACTCTGCATAAAACAAAATAGCAGTCAGAAAAGCACTGTGATTGTGGCAGCAATTAAAAACATTAGTAAACAGTGTTATGAAAGTGTCTGACATTGTGAAAAGCATGCTGGGAAAAAAGTCTTTTAATTTGCAAAACTGCAACGTGGTTTCTGAATTACTTTACCTATATAATATATGTGTACATATACACATGCACACATAATTGTTTGATAAACAGCACTTATTTGAAGACCTGGTGAACTGGTTCCCTGTAGGAATAGTACTTGATAGCACAGTAATGTCAATGTTCTTTACCAGCAAAGTATTCCTGATGCAAACACATCTATTTACTGTCAAAGTAATACCACATGCCCCAAATGAAAGATGTTATACTCGTAAAAGCAATGCTGTGCTAGAATGGCTGTATCTGCACTAGCAGCCCTTGTCACAACACCTGTAATAGCTCAGGATTATATCTTTTCACAGCCCTGATCAGCACTGATGTATTGCCGAAGGTTGAGCAATAGCTAGAGTGTATTTACTGTGTATTTGGTTTCTGGATTTCCTGACTATTCCTGCTTCATGGTTTGGCTTCTGTTTCTTGGCTGGGTGACCTGAACTTTATAAACAGGAGCTCTATTTGAGAAAATGTTTAGGGAGTGCTTGAAATGAAGATGTGTACTGCAGAATTACCCTTGTTCCAAATGTGAACATAAAGAAGCAGAAAGGATGGTTTACAGCAACTGTGCAATTGGGTTAATGCTTTAATGCTAATGTTTGTCTTCTTAGCTCCTAGTGTTCATGCTGTTGTTCCCATGCTTAATGGAAACATGGGAACAATAATTCTCAAAATACTACTCTAGGCCAAGAACTGCTGTCTCTGACACAAATGAGTCCTCAGAAGTTATTACTTAAAGTAGTCAAAGTAGGTTTTAATCTAGCACTTTAAAATGGAACTGCAGCTTGGGTTTGTCTTGAATAGCTTAAATTTGAAAATGAAGCAGGAATTACATTAAAAATATTTATGAGCTGTCTCTGCAGAAGTGAATAATGGGCCAGCTTACACAGTCTTTCTAAAAGTGACTTTCATAGAATCATAGAATCATTTAGGTTGGAAAAGGCCTTTAAGGTCATAAAATCCAACCGTTAACCCAGCACTGCCAAGTCCAGCACTACATCATGTCCCTAAGCACCACGTCTTTTAAATACCTCCAGGGCTGGTGACTCAACCACTTCCCTGGGCAGCCTCTTCCAATGCCTGACAACCCTTTTGGTGAAGAAATTTTTTCTAATATCCAATCTAAACCTCCCCTGGCACAACTTGAGGCCATTTTCTCTTGTCACTTGGGAGAAGAGACTCTCTCCAACCTCCTTTCAAGTAGTTCTAGAAAGTGATAAGGTCTCCCCTGACCCTCCATTTCTCCAGGCTAAACACCCCCAGTTCCCTTAGCCACTCCTCACAGGACTTGTGCTCCAGACCCTTCACCAGCTCCGTTGCCCTTCTCTGGACATGCTCCAGCACCTCAATGTCTTTCTTGTAGTGAGGGGCCCAAAACTGAACACAGTACTTGAGGTGCAGCCTCACCAGTGCTGAGTACAAGGGGACAATCACTTCCCTAGTTCTGCTGGCCACACTGTTCCTGATAGAAGCCAGAATACTATTTGCCTTTTGGCTTTGAGCAGTCATGGTCTTCCACAAATTCAACTTGACTGCAGTTTCCAACGTACAAAGTACATATATCTCCAAAAACCTCTTGACATTTTTGCTTGGAAGAAAAATAACTGTTCTGAAAAAGAGGCTGTTAAGCTTTTAACAGCAGTTGCTTAGTCCAAAACCTCCTAAGAGCAAAGGTTAGTGGTGGCATGTTATGATGCAGAGCAAATTTCTCCCCACAGCTCAATGTAGTGGTAGATGTAGGTGTCTAGACAAGTGGGCTGCATCTACATAGTAAAATATTTACTGTGGCTTTACCAAATTGTAATCCACACAGGATTGGGAGCTTGATGTGGAGATGCCCAAAGACAAAAATATCTGAGTTTGTCTTCAGAGGATATTTACATGTGAAGTCTACTTTCTTCAAACCCTCACAGACTTTGCATCACCTTAAAACTTTTGAAAAGTTGGTGGTATTTGGATCAAGCCTTTTTATTTGGGCTACTTTCTATTTTCAGTAACTTAAATAAATATTTAACTCTAGTACAGCCTGAGACACAGTTATGAAGGGACAGCTACCACAAAGTGGCCACATTATAGGTGCTCACAGAAAATTGCTATTGCTTTCATTGTGCATTCACATTTAAATGAAGGTAATCTACTGGGCTGAACTGGAGTCTCTCTCAAAGTGTCATCACAGGGTTATGACTGGTCTGAAGTCCTGACTATCTCTGAATCAGAGCAGAGTCCAGCTCTGGTCCTTGGCTTCCTGGGGCCTTTCTGGGGCTTTTTCCAGTTCTCTCCTAATGTATACATGCACCAGGATGAACATAAAGCAGTTCTCTTTCCAGAAGTTAAATGTAAGGACATAAGCTTTTCGGATTTTCTGTGATATTGTAAGTACTGGAGGATTTGTTGTGCTCATGGATAAAGACTACCAGTTGGATTTGGTACTCACCCCATTAATCATCAACAGGATCAATCCGTTGTCTGTAGGTGTTCGAACTTCTATGTCAAACCGAGTCACCTGGCTGAATCTTCCCCTTCTCTCAATGTTTCTTGCCAAGGCATAGCCAGAGCCATCAAAGAAATAGCTCACAGCCCGGCTCTGAGTGAAAGCCAACTTATTTCTATGAAAAAAACAAGAAGGGAAGCAATATTTGGCATATCCGTGTTTGAATTTGGGGAAATTTAAAAGCCTCTACAAGTTAAAATACTTCCTTGAAATAATTGTTGTGAATTGCTGCTTCTTCCCGGCAGCGGTGAGACTGATGACTTTTGCTTTCAAATTCTTTCTGGCCATATTTTTCTGAAAAATAATGTGTAGCTTTGAAGGTGTGTCTAATTCCTTCATCGTTAGATTGTGCTTTTGTCCTGCGCTGTATGTAGGGAACAGGAAAATTCTTTGCTCATCCTTGTGAAGTGGCAGGCCCACAGCACCTCCTCCTTACAAGGATACACATACATTTCTATTAAGAGCTTGCCCTGTTTGTGCCAAAACCCATCTCTGAGGCCTTTAACTGAGCACGAGCTCTGCTTTCCACACGCTCTCCACATGTACTGTCCTGGAGAGCAGCAGCTTGAGCTCCCTGTGGGAATGGCATGGGAAGCAATCGTTTGCTCTGTCCCAACATTTGTTCCCATAGAGAGCTGCAAGTTTCTCTTCTGTTCTTTGGTATAGAGAGATTCTACGGTTGCTGCCTGTTGTCTGCACAAAATGCCCACCATGTCTGTGCTAAAGGAACGCGGCGGTTGGTGTTCACGTCTCCTTCAGGGGCCGCACGTCCCAGTTGGCGAATGGCTTATCTGAGGAATCTTTGCTGTGGGTCTAAGAGTGTATGGCAGAGAGAGAACTCCCGTACGGGCTTTGTGAGCTGGGGGTAGGAATGTGCCCCAGTTTACCAGGCCCGCTGGAGCTAACTGGCCATGGCTGTGTCACTGGCAGCAACAGGGTTCTGGACAGGAGCAGCCCTGTCCTAGGCAAGCAGCATGGGTGAGGAGGGAGCCTGGAGCACGCCCTAACAAACACGGCCGTGCGGACACACTCTGTTGCCCTCCTGAAAGCAGGAGCAAGTTGTGAGAGAGTTCATGGAGACACAGCAAAGATATAATTTTAACTTGTTAATGCGGCTAGGAGTTAAAAGTGGCCAAGTTCCTTCTGGGTAACTCAATATTGCCTTCACATTTGTACTCTGAAGCAGGAACGCACCACCGGGAGTGGCACTGCCTACAGCCCGGAGCAGCAGTGCCGTGGGACTGTCCCCTACCTGGCACAAGGTGGCGATGTGGCGGTGTCGATGTTATAGACGTGCTTGAAGTTGTACAGGCTGATCACGTCGTCGTTCAGGGTCGCCAGTTCCAGGCAGCCGAGGAAGCCAGGTAAGTTTAAGCTAGGAGGGAGCTGTGCAGAGGGCAAGGAAAAGGAGGAGGGTCACGCTCTTTGTGAGGGTATCATGAGAACGTTTGTGCCCGGGGTCAGTTTTGTCTCTGTGCTCTTCACATGGTGAAACAAATGGGGTGATGCTACCTTGGAATGATCTTTGCTGTCCTTATCATCATATGGCCCTTGTGCTGTAAGTTAGAGCAGAGCACACCAATGTTCTCACAGAGGGAACAGACCAGGTGAGACAACTGCAGACAGACTTCTGTCGTAGTGTTGAAAGTAGCACACACAGAAAAGAGTTAGATTTGACTAATCACTGATCTTGCTCAATGTATTTGCATCTCTCAATAGATATGCCACGTCTGATGTAGAGACATCCTTCCCTACCAGATAAACAACTTGCTACCCCGATGAAACAGAGAAATGAGAGAGCACTTTAAACCCAGGAGACCTGGATTCAAACTTGGCACCAGTGGCTAATCTTCAGTAGGTGTTATTTCCAACAGTTAGCAGGATATAGAAACTCCGTCTTTTAACAAAGGTCACTGCAAATGGAATTTAAAAAGCTGCATTGGTGAGGGGAAAAAATACAAAAGAATAAAGCTGACAGAGCTAGTGAATCATTCTTTTAGTATTAAAATACTCTGCCTTGTGGAACAGGTGTGATATTAATAACACCTCTTGTACTTCAGAGTCTGATCACTGCCAGTAACTTTTCTTCGGCTTCTCATTATTTCCATTTTGCTTCTGATATAATACTAATGGTAATACAGCAATGCAGAATATGTGTAGCTGTAAGAGAAAATGAGATTCTTGTCTGCAGCACAGATATATTTTGTAAGTTGTTTCCTTTTTTCCTTTGTTTCTTCTGCTATTCTGTTAAATTATGTAAAGTATGAGACACAACTATGATCAAGTGTTACATTTCATATTTACAAAATATATAATAGGGAAGCAAAGGAAAAAGCCATAAGCAAATAAGTCTGTATGTTAATAAATGAAAATGTGAGGTGTCCATTCCTAAGGGAGAAGAGACTCATATTCTTATAAAATAATTCCATGAATCCTTTCCTTCCCATGCCCCTTCTTATTTTCATTCACTTTTCTCCTTTCCTTTCTTCTGTCCTATTGGAGCAGACCTGAAGGATTCATTTCCTGGATTACTTTTTTTTTTTTTTTTTTTTTTTTTTTTTTTTGGGTGTGTGTGCAACTATTATTGTCTTAAGTTCTATTCCCAGGCAATTTGCACCTGGGGCTCAGTAATCTAAAATTCAAACTGTGGCATATATCTAGTAATCACAGCAGTGCAAAAGCTCAGGAATACATAAATATATTGAGTTAATCTTTGTTTTTATATTGTCAAGAGGGCTGCTTGTAAAACAGTAGTTGGATGTTTTTAGCACCTACTACAGTTAGCTTGAAGAATTTAGCGTTCTTTAAAGTCTTTCTAAGTATGTTTTCATTCAGTCATGTAATTTTCATAGCCAAGATAATGCATAACAACTTCTAAATCCAAAAAAGAGGACCTGGTATATACACAGAAGCAGGTAAGGGAGGTGCTAATTCATGCTGGCTGTGTTGAGATGGGTGCTGCTCACTAGGAACTAGTCTGAAGCAACTGTCTCACACAGGTCCTCGGACATGTTTTGCACAGGCAAGTCTTCATGCTGTTGTAAGGCTGGATTTGAACCAATGATCACTTAAACTCAAACAAAACATTGTATTACTAGTTTGCCACACTGTCCTAATATTAGTAATACATTACTTATCATTTTTGTGGCAGCTGTAAAAGAGAAGTTGTAAGCATCAAACTCATTAGCACTGGAAAAAACTGGTAGCTTGCAAACTTTGTTAAGCTGAGCTAATAGGTCTTAATTTATATGTACTACATTATGGCCAGCAAACTTTTGTCTTATTACATTTCAGAAAAATTTAACGACAGCTAACAGGAATCTGATTGTCTGACTCTATGAGATGATATGCTAGGGAAAGCAGTTTTCACCATGGCTGGAATATGGAGTCCTAGGCTGATAAATGATTAACCAAGGACATTTTATTTATAACTATTCATGTGTTTAAAGAGAAGCCCAGAAAATAGGTTTGCATTATTTAAGTCTGAATATAGAATATTTGACCAACCTTGAAGCCTGGCGGGACTCCGCCAACGTAGAAAACAGTATTTTCAGGTTCCAAATTCAGGAGAGAGCCAGGACCGAGAACTTCTCCCTTTTTGATGAACTTCTCATCAGCTGTGCTGCTAAGGCTTGGCACAGTTAAAAACATTTTGCCATGTCTTCCAATCCTGTAGAAGGGCATTGTAAGAGAAGAGTTTTGTGTTTGCTGGACTTAAAAAAGAACAAGCAAGCCTCCAACTCCAGGAAGGGTTTTTATTTCCTCACTAGAAGACTGATACCCTGGCAGGAAAAAAGGGGGAAACTACAGACACCTTATCTTCCCCCCTGTGACCTCTTGGATCGTGGCTCTCTAAAGGCAGAGAGTTTCCATTTATTTCAGCAGAAGTAGTGTCAGGCACTGAAGGCTCCTGATAAGCAGTTCTGTCCCAGCCTTTTCTGCTTTTTTGTTTCCTTTTTTCTCTTAACTGTTTGGTTTTGGGGAAATGTACATTGGCACTTTACCTCTCTATTTTGATGATGCTGAAATAAGAAGGCCAGGTGCTGACTGGCTTGGCGTCCAGAGGTATCTCCACATCTTGGCCTCCCAGATTATAAATGTACACAAGGTTGTCATTTTTAATTGCAAGACCAATGTAATTTTTTGCCTAAAACACCAATGGAGAAGGATGTCAGAGCTGCAGTATTGAAACAATTTAATGCAGAACATTAGTAAAGGGTGGGCTATGATAGACTAAATGACACTTTTAAATATGAGTAATAAACAGATGTTTCATTCTCTAATTACTTTCCTCCACCAGACAGAACAGCACAGAGAAGCATCTGATATTTTACCTCATATTAACTTTGACTGAGGTAAATACAAGGTCATGAGGTGTCTACTAGCCGTAAATTGGTAATGTTTAACGGGAAGCCTTTTGTCGGTATTTAGTGTGCAGCATCATACGTAGGAAATAGGAAGAAATATTTGTCTACAATCTAGGTATTATGCTGCAATTAAATATTCTGCCAACAGGGATTTATCTTGATTTATATTCAGTAGACATTCTTTTTTAGAAAAACAAAAAGAAAAGCCTGTCTCTTTACTCTTCCCAACTAACAGCTTTCCAGAATTATACCTGGCTTGTGAGGTGTGACTTTTCTTCTCCTAGGAACCACAGTTTAATGAATGATTTTTCATAACACTGAAGAGGGTGAGGGTGTGTGCCCTTTCTGGATGTTTCATAGCAGTGGCGTACAGAGTGTACAACAACAGCACAAGCCACAGGCAAAGACACCTGCTTATCTTGAGGGCCTCTGACCTTGGAGGTTTGGAATTGACACTGTCAGCACCATAAACCTGGTTGAAACGTGGCCCACAAAAGCCAGGCAAGTGACATTAACTGCGTCATAGCACCTCAGTACTGGCAGCGTAGATGGCAAGTATGGCTCACCGCAGTGACAATCACAGCAGCACGCTGCACAGACAGTCTAATTCGCTTCTCAGAGAGAATCCTTCATTGTTTGGGGTGAGAAGTTTCAAGGACAGGGGTCTTGGGAACCCTCACTCTTTGCTTGTCACAAAATCAATGACAGTCATATAGTAGACACCTCTTATTTTGAAACATGGAGCAGTAGTGAGAGAAAAACCAAGGGCAAATAAACTTCAAACTTTTTTTTTTTTTACTATATATAAAATAACTGTGTTATTCTCTTACATTTTTGTTTCCGAGGTACAAAATAAATCTGTCTGGAGATGCTGCCAGTTGCGGGTTGTCTTTCTGAAGCTTTATATACAAGCTCATGGAAGTGAAAGATTTCAGTTCCTCCACGTTGATCTTTGGATTGACTTCAACAGCTGATTGGCCTCCAAACATCATAGAAACTTGGACCTGCAGTTGCAAATGTGCTGTGTGAGACACGTCATTGCTGCCTGGGGGCATCACTTAAGGTAAATGTGCAACATTACTTAGCCAGCAGCCTCGCTTACTGCAAGAGTGGAGTTGGCACCTACGTATGTGCCATGCAAAATTCTATGTTTATGACAATCACTTTTGGAAGACACAGTAAAGAAGATGAAGGGAATTAATTTTAAAATTAATTAAAGTACCTAATTAACTGTGCTTAAGCATATTCATAAAGTAAATTAAATTTCAGTGGGACATAGATGTGTGCTTAGTTGAATCAGGGCTACATCATTATGTATGGCACATAATGAAATTCTTACATAGCTATAAAACTTCTACTCATAATTTATTTCTTTGCTTTGGGAGTAGTATGACCAATTTTCTGTTCGTGAGTAATCCTGTTATATTACTGAAGTTACAGTAATACATCTGAGATGCTAATAAAATTTTTAAACATGTTCATTTTAGTTCTAAATGCCCTCAACATAACTGAAATAATGTTTTCAAGTTTAATCACAATATGCCTGACTGACAAAATACATCTAAAGAGCAGTCAAGCACCGCAGACATACTAACTGAATTTTGCATTTCTTTTTTTGAAGTAATGTATGTGGACAGCATATTCCAGCATTGTGAACATACAATAATGCACTGAATTTTTTATTTCTCTGAATTAATTCCAATATACTGTTTTAATTTTTGACCTCAGTGTTCTTGTTACAGAAAAATCCCTCATAATTTATGTATGATAATGAAAGTATTTTTTGCTATTAAATATGCATGAGCTAAAGATTCTCCTACCCTGCAGAAAATTAATCCAAAAGACAAAAAGAAATACTGTCATCTCAGAAAAGTTTGCATTAAATTGCTGTAATTACTACTGCTTGTAACTAATGTTTCTAGCTGAGTAATGACCTATTAGCTTTAACTTTAAATGGTTTTGCTGTTGTGGCCAACTTCAACACTGTGCCAATTACTTAATTAAAGTTGCTACTGCAGTATGAATACCATGGTAATGTTAATTGCTTGAAATAGCAACTGTAAAGATCTTAATGACTTCCACTCTTTTTTTATCCAGTTGCTGGGAGGATATAATGTCAAGGACTGGGCTTCTGACATAGCCCACGAAAATGGAGCTCCTAGTAAGATGCATTAGATGATTAGCACTAGTAACCAAATGTCCCATCCAAAAGTTTTACCTTGCTTGCTACACTCCTGGTTTGAGCAATTAACTCTCTGATCCTGTGAATGCTGGAAGAAATATTGTTTTCTGGTGCCTTCTGTTCAACTCTGCGCAGTTTGTCCAGGAGTTGCGGGAAGACTTCTGTAAGTTTCTTCACTGCAGTTAGAGAAGAAGCAACAGCTTGGGTTTTTTTTTCTTCTTTGTAACACTGATTTTGCACCAGGAAAATTCGTCCTTACCCTCTTAGGTTAACTAACCTACCTCCTCCTGCTTTAAGAATGTGTTTTAACTGTGGTGTGTGAAAGGCAGTGGTTTCCGAAAGGGTAAAAGGGTAAAGGGTAAAAAATAAATGTTAAACCCAATTTTACAGACTTGGTAACTGGAGCAGAATGAGTATTTGTTCAGCGTTTCACTGGGTATCTGTGGCTGACCTGGGAACAGCATCTAGGAGCAGATGATCATGATCTAGGTTCATGATCTCTTCAAATTCATTTTAGGGGAGATGAATAGGTCACTCAGCTCTCAGCTGTGCATCTTTCCCAAAGGTTACCACTTAGAGCGCAGCAAAAGCTACACCGATGATGTGTCTGAGTGTGGTTCACAGCCCACTCTGCTAACAGAAACACTGCTGCTTTCAGGCTGTGGTAACAGGCCTGTGCTGTACAAGAGTCGAAAACCTTAGCTGATGATGCATGTGCACCTAACCTGTGCTTGCTACCTGCCCCAGCCCTTGTGAGTGGTAACCTTTTCAGCTTTCCTGCCCACATCTGCCAGGGGTCATGAGTCAGAGTCCTGGACCTTTGGTCTTTCACTGCTGTGTCTTCTGGTACGTGTGCAAGTAGGATTGTTATCAAAGGGAAATATGGGTGCTTTGTTGTGTTTAAAGGAAGAAAAATCCTTTCCCAGAATGATAAGCAGCAGAAAAACTATTGAGAAAGAAAAATAACTACCCCTAATTATAATTCAATTTCATCACATCAGATTCCAATGACATGCTGCCCTTTGAAGGATATTTACACATCACATCATTTTTCCTCTTTAATTAGACATAGGTAGAACTAGCTGAGTATAATGAAATAGGATTTTAGCCACAAGCTACATGCACATAAGAAAGATCCAGTATTTGTAGTTAATTTTTAATGACATGGATTCACTATAAAGGTTAAGACCAGATTTGTAAGGTTTGCAATTATATTTTAAGGGTTGTCAGCTTGCGTTTGCCTGCTCTTGTGTTCTTCCCCTCATATTTTTACACTTGTCTGAGAAGATGGCAGAGAGGCAGGTAGAGAAGCTAATCAGATGTACTGAGGTTGTATAGAAGGGAAAGAAAGGAGGAGAAGCCACCAGTCACTTTTCTGTGCTTTCAGTTCTGTATTGACCAAAAACTGAAGCAGGTCTCAGCCTTGCTCAGAGCAACACGGAGTATGAGAAGATCCCATAGAGTCCTACAACTCCTGCGTCTCTTTGGATAGAGTGAAAAGCTATATTTGCCACAGACCTGCCCTCTCTCTGCTTGGCTTTTTTCACTTGTGTTCCAAAATCTTTTCTCTTGTGTTCCAAAATCAAGTGCAAGCTTTATTTAAAGCAATACAGACATGCCAGCTTAGAGGCTTCAGGTGCCACGGTAGTGTTATTGGCATGATGATCAAGTGTTTTGGCATTTCAGGCACCCATCTCAACATTTTTTGTGTCTTTCTTTTGAACTTTAATGGGCATTTCTTCTGCCAGATACACGTCTTCTGGCAACATGAACAGCTGATCTGAAAGCATTCCACCATGGCCTGGCATGTCTACATCTGTCTTCCCAGGCTGTGGATCACAGTCACATCTGACTGGAGCACTACCCATGCCAGACTCCTGTGTAGCACTGATCTGTCTTCTCAGCTATTTCCACCTGGTATTTACGGCAAAAAAATCATCGTGTCGTAAACCAAAAAAACCAGAAAATGCTTTCAGACAAAAAATGCTATGAAAGAGCTGTCTCCACAAATGTAGTAGGCCACACGTTGCTCTAGTTTGCATTTTAACATCTCTCAGATTGTTAGTTTGTGGTCAGCAGACCCTCCAGGTACTCTGATACAATCAGAATCCTTTCCAAGTGACTCCCTACCCACTATCACACAGAAGACATTTTCGCCAGGCGCATCGCACAGGAGTTGCGTTGTTCTTTACAACTCATGGTGCAGGTATCATGCATACCTTTTTGGGAGCATAACTGACTAGGAGAGTTGGACCATCTTAGGTCTATCCTCTCTTATGGAGCCTCTCAAACACTACTGGAAATATTTATTACAGTATAAGAACTAGTATGAGCAGATTTTTAAAATCCTGAATGCCAGCTGACATTTTGAACATGAAGAACCAAATGCAGTTTCTGTTGCTGCTCTATATACTAAACTGGAACAGGTAAAGGTTAAATGTAAATCAAATATAAAAGTGCATAAAAACAATAACCTTCATGTGTAAGCTATAGCAGACTGTTTGTCTTAGATGTTTTTTCTTATACCATTCCCTCCCTGGATGCCAATCATACCCACATTTACGTTATCTTAAATGGGAGTTGGAGCCCATAGCCCACAGCCTAAACTGAGCACCCTGGTGATCAAAAACATTTTATAGCAATGCAATAGAACTACTGTTATATTAACTACACCCTTATGCAACTCTAGCTAGAGTGAGCTCACCCATTCCCAGAAGAAGTAGCTCAGTGTTTCATGTATGAAAAGCTCAGACAAATGTGAGTTACCTCCAGTTCTGGAGCCAGAAGCAGGGATATTTAATAGTACTGAATTTCTTCTTGTGGAGGGATCCTCTTTTGTACCAGTTCTAGGAAGCACTCACTTTACCAAACATAGTAGTGCGAGGTTCTTATCCATTCCTGAATTCTGGAAATAACATGGCCCTTGGGTTTCCCTGGTCTAGAGGGAGAGTATGGTTTTGGGGCACTAGAAGCAATGTTGGGTTTGATACCATAACACCGTCTGCAGCAAAATGACATGCAAGTTGCAAAGCTCCTTACAGAAGGAGCAGGGATTTGGGGCAGTAGGTCTGGGATAGAGACTTTCTGGAGATAGTGTCAATAGAGTTATGGACCTTCTCTGAGGCACTTTCAGGAGGCCAGACATCACTGAACAGTGCTGCAGGTATGGTACATATCATCAAACGTATGCAGGAAATTTCTTGTTCTGGATTTCTAGCTTCCCTAGCATGAATAACCTGGGATTAGTGAACCTCGTGACCAGAGCCAGGAATATATTCAGCAATCAATAGGGGTGCTTGTCAGTGATCTTTTATTCTGAATATTTTCACTTCTAGGTTGATTCTTTTCTTTCCTAATTGTTCCTTTTCTTTCTTTCACCAGTCACTTCATCTTCACTCTCCCTGCCTCTTAAAATGTCAACTCAATTTGAATTTTCCAGCCTTCCTCAGTTTTTCTTTTGTCTTTTTATCTACCTTAAATTTTTCATAACAAATCTTCCAATTTTTACTCTACTCTTCCTCCTGATAATAAAAGTGGAATTAATGTGATGTTTACAAGCTTTTCCAGCAATCATCCTGCTTAAATATTATATTTCCTCCCTAATCCTTGTTGCCCCTTTTGTTTAGACTACACACTCATCAAGTCAGGGACCATTTTTCCTCCATGTTTGTACTACTGAGGACAAAAGGGCCCTGTTTTGAAATGCCTCCCAATATTAAAAAAAAAAAACAAACTGAACCACCAATCATAACAACAGGAATTATTTAAACAAGCTGTCTACTCTTCAGTCTGACCTTGGTACCCTGATAAAATGACTTAAAAGGCAAGAAGACTTCATCTCTTAAGGGTTTAAGTAAATTTTGGAAATTCCCAAGTATCCAAAAGTTTTAAAGTAGAGTCAAGTCTCTAGACAACTGCTATTTTTTCAAATGTTTTCATGGATGTTAAATGCTAGAAGATTGTATGCTATGAATAACGATCCATGCCACATGATGTGGTGATGATTCCCTGACCTTTTAGTGCTAAGGAATGGCAAAATTCAGGTCAGCATACCTGCATCCCCAGCTGAATGCACAGCACTGTCATACGCCGCTGAATTGTGCTGGAAGTCTTGCAGGTTCTGAGACCACAGCCTCACGTTCTCATCCATGGGGGTCGTAGCCTGTGTTACTGTCATGGTATCACTTACAGCCTCTGCAGTCTTCAGTTTAGCTTCCTCCAAACGCTGTCTGGCCTCCACTACAAAATACATAGGGGATGAGAAGAAATTAACTCTTTTGTAGGTTCAGACGAGCTACAACCAGTACTTAGAAAGTGGTGAGGCTAAGTGGATTTTACCTTCTGCAGAATGGGGACCTAACCTTGCTTGGTTGTTTTTTTCTTTATTTCTACAGGGAATATTCAAAACTTCATGAATATGAAGTCTACAGTTAAATTAATTCTTAAAATGTAATAAATTCTCATTTCCATTCTACGTTGTTAGAGATTTCTGGTGTGCTTGGATTTTGATGGGTGTGATATAAACAAAGAACATGGAAGAGAGATGAAAAAATACATAGTTTTTCTTCAAGTTTTTGAAACAAAATACACATATTTGTGGAATATTTTTCATGAAAGTTATTTTTGAAGGAGAGAAACCCAAGACACAGAATTGGATTTGTTTTTTCATACCTGGCATTTTGGGGTTTTAATTTTTTTTGTGTTACTAACTACTGTATTTGTAAATCCTGTGGCATTTTGCATATGATAGTGCCTTGGCAGTGAAACCCAGCCATTTTTAGCTGAAGTTAGTAAAGAAATCTTGACCATGTCAACTTTGTACACTCTCAGGTATAGTTGCTGGATGCTCTATGATGTCTCTTTTCTGAAAAACGAGGGTGAGATTTTGTCAGTCAAGACTGCCAGTAATTACCTTCGAACTACTCTACTTGCCAGGTCTGATGTATATGTGAATTAGATTTTGACAATCAGTACAATAAATCCACAGACCTGTAGATCCTCCATGCCCTGAAAAGATTAAGAGTAACATGTGAGAGGACAACTGTAGTAAGGAGGATCAAGAAGAACATTAATAATTCCAGGTGGAAAACCATATAATTTCCTTACGAATGTGTTGTAGCTGGATGTTTGCTGTCTAGGTCTTATAGTTTCAAATTCCTTTAGGCCTTCCTGGGACTGAAATCTTAATACAACTTCATAGACCATATGTAAAGATAAAATATGCTCTTAAATGTATGTATAGAAAGCATCATAAAGATGAAGTTCCTCTTACAACCTGGCTCTGCTGATTGCATTTTTGTGATGGCTTTCATCAGCTGGCTTCGCAGAGCATTCAATCTGGCAAGAGTGCCATTAACATGCTGGCTAGTGTCTGCAATGTTTAAATCATTACCTGTGGGGAGAAAATAGGAGGTAGAGTTGAGTGGCATCGAAGTGGCATTTAAAAAAGTACATTTCATTCTGTGGAGGTAAGTTATTACGCATTAAGTACACCATAGGGAGTACACTATAGCCTCTTTTAGTATAAGGCATACTAGCACTCTTGATTTCACATAATCTAAAGGAAAGAGCAACCTTGTGGCTCCCAGCCACTATTTGCTTGCCCCAGGACTTCTTAGAAAAGTCTTGAGACCTCAAGAGTATTCAGTCAGTACTATCTCTCTGCTTCTACCAGAAATGCTGAGAATATCTGCAACAAGTATATAGGAAAAGTTTTAAGAAACTCAAAAGATCCTGAAAAATGGAAGAGGTAATTTCTGTAATATTCAAGTTTTCTTTCATTTTCTGTGAAAAAAGGCCAAAATCCTTTAACATTTGTTATTATCCTTCACTGGTGAAATCCAGCCTTCTGAACACTTCAACTGCTCTGAATTGATTTCAGTTGAACTACTTGACTGAGTATTTGCCTCTGACCAACTGTTTGCAGGATCACATATTTAAACAGTAGTTGTATCTGAAACGGTCCTTTTGTGAATGAAATAAAGTTTCAGCATCTGGCAGGATGGCAACACACAAACTACTCAACTTTGCCTGTGGCCTTTTCAAGTACTTTTTGGGCAACTTCGGTCAGTACACTATTCTGTTACAGCAGTACTTCTGCCTTAGTAACATGCTTTTGAAATTAGTTTTACTGTATATGCTTATAAACTGGCTGGGAAAGTAGAAAGTATGTATATTTACTGTATTCTGCTGTCTGTTGTAGCTCCATGGCTCGGTTGAGTAGTTCTTTGCTTTTACGTTTGTGGTAAATGATCTGAGTATCGATTCCAACAGCAGCCTGCAAGTATGTTCCAAAAAAAGAAAGTCAGAATAATACTTACCAAATGTTCCTCTTCGTTGTGTTTAATTGTGGACAACATATTGCTTCATATAACTGCAAAGTTCCTGCAGTTTCATTTGCTTTGTTAGCATTTAAGATTGGCAGTTAGATTAGAAAAAAAAGTCTGAAAAGCAAAATCTTCTGTAGATTACAGTTAAAGTTTAGAGAAATGCATGCTTTTCCAGACAACACCACTGAATAAGATGCAGAAATCACAGAAGTTCTCTTAATTTATCAACTCCAGTCTGGTCAATGTGATGCTCATGGTACATACTAGGAGTGGTGAGTGTTCATTTCTACCGTCCTTACAGATGGGTGATGGACAGCTGCACTGCTTAGGGAGCTGCCTTGCAGTCCCCAGTAGTGTGCTGGAAGCAGAGCACTGGAATCAAAATCCCACAGCTCCCTGGGGTTCAGGCCCTGTAATCTAACCAAATCCACTTGCTATCCCACTAATAAATAACTGTTAAGTAGCATGTATAGGTTAGAAACTATATCGGTGCAAAAATACCTGTAAAATATTTTAGAACAGCAAGGCCAGAGAGAAAATTAGCATCCTCATACCTGCACTGAGCGTATGAGTGGGCTATTGGCCCCATTTTTAATTGACTTTCTATGAGAAACAGTGATACTTCTGTTGGATGTTTTGACCACCGTTCCTGCTACATGGTGCTGTGTGGAGTAGGAGGACTCAAGAGCTAAATGCCAGCTCAGGTTCCTCAGGGCTAGGGAGTTGTCTGGACTTTCAAGGAAATGCCTCAGTTTGAGTGACAGCGCAGAGCAGCATCAGCCTGTTCTTAGAGACAGAAGAACCTGTTACATCTTTTCGAATGCCAGGGGACTTTAGGCGGGCAGAATAATTAACCGCTTCGGATTTAATTCAGGAAACAGTAGATGAAGCAAAATGTGTAGTGAGAAGTTCAGTGTTGACAGTTAAGCTGAATCTCGTTTCTTCTTTATATTTACGTGTCCAAAGTCTCTGAAGCATTGCAAAGTAAAAGCTGATATTATGAAAATTACGTACGTCATTGACCCGGTTTGTTGTGTTCAGTGCCAGCAATGCAGCTTCATTAGCTTCTTCAATATAACTGGCAATGTTTTCATACACATTTGAAGCATTTACTGCCCTTTGTACCAACCCATTTGTATCAACACCATGCAAATTCCTGTTAAAAAAAAGAGTAAGAGGAGGAAGAAACCAAACTGAATCAAAGCAGTGTCAAATGGATTAATTTTCTTAACATTCTGTGAATTCTGACTACATAATCATGGGCATAAATATACTCAGTCTAAGTTGTACTCTCTTTATTGTGCGTGACCATTTATGGCAATCTGAAGCAAACAAAAACTATGTGGATAGAAGGTACTTCCCAGTGGTTTAACTCTGGAAATTTTGCCCTTAACGCCTATGTAAGCAACAACAAGTGACTACTGAGCTTTTATCTTTTTAAATCTCGTTTAGATATCCCATAAATTAACAGAATTACATCTATCAGTTGTCCTTCTTTATGAATAACTCCTGGCCATGAATGGAAGGACCTGTGTGAGCAGGACAGCTGTATACTAGCCTGTTTATATTTTCCAAAAGTAGGTGAGAAAAGGGGGAGGATCACATGAAAAACTGCCCATGATCATGAAACTTTGCAGAGAGTTAGAGCTTTGCTGGCATGATAGAGCTTGATTTGCATATTTGCATATTAGGTGATAACCGATCTTCTGGGGAGATTCCAAACAGCAATTGGTTTAGGACTCAACCTTCAGCTGTTAGAAACTTTGAATAAATATTTTAAAAGTATTTTTGTGATAAACAATTCGGAGTATATGTTAGACATAGACTCTAAAAATATATATATATACATGTGTGTATTCACTTCAAAGGGTTTGCACACTGAGGGCCTATTAAGTTTCCAGATTCAGTGTTGTTGCAAGAATTTCCTGCTATATTCCCCCAAGACAAAAGAAACTCTGCCAAATAAAAGCCTACCAGGCTTATAAAGCAAACCCATAAAACCAAAATTGATTTGAAGACAGACTCAATTTTTTGAAGGATTATAGTTTCACTGCAGGACAATCTTCTAAACAAATAAAAAAGTCAGCACATTTCCATCTCTATATTTTGTAATTATTTCTGTTTGCTTTCTATTAAATTCCTAATGTGTTGGACTTGGTAGTAATTTTAAAATTATTTTGGTAAGGGATAAAGTATAGCCATATGGGGTATTTTCTTTGCAGTGATTCTGCTGCCCCCAGTTAGCTGATCTCAGACTGAACATACTGTTTGTTTTTTAGGCTGTCTCGTTTGTGTGGCATTACAGAAGAGAGTTTCAGATGTCAGCTTTATACAACTGTATAAAAGAAAACCATCTGTTATTTTTTTTCTCTGTTTTAATCCCCTATCTAGGACATACTAATATTAAGAAGCAACTGGTATTTAGATAATATGCTTGAAGAGCAGTTTTAAGTTTATCTTCAAAAAAATATGTCCATGGAGTTACTTAAGGTAGAAATTGGTGAAATATTTAAGAATTCATTTGCAGCAGTGATTTTTCCATGGGTAGTCCCAGTTGCAAATAAAGCCATATTTTAGATCTTTCTAAATGTGGTTGTTTTTTTTTTTTTTTGTAAAATGGGGTAAGTTGATGAATTTAGTATCTTCCAGCAAAATAGGAAGACTTAGAGTAAGGTTTTGATGTTGCAGTGGGCCGGTTTCATTGGAACAAAACGAGTATCAGAACTACTCCACCTGTAAAACATTTCTTGAAGAAAAATTACCCCAAGGCCCATTTTTTGGCCCATAAGACTAAATATTTTTTAATGTGAATGAACTCACTGATATGTTTCTGCAAACCCCATTTAATCTGCCCGTATTATTTTACTTTTTAGTAGTCTGTCTTTGCCATTCTCTTGCTGTGAGAAGAGAAGAACATGCCAAATTAGAACGGGGAGAATGTCACGCAAGATTGTTTGTACTTTGAAAAGATTAATAGATTTTGCTTAGCTCAACTTCAGCTGTTCCCTCTGGACAAATTAGAATGGGGAGAATGTCACGCAAGATATATGTTTGTTTGTACTTTGAAAAGATTAATAGATTTTGCTTAGCTCAACTTCAGCTGTTCCCTCTGGACCTTGACAGCTCCTTCCATACATGACTTAACAGTGATTTGTTTAGTGCCTATTTACAGACAGCATATCCAATGTCACCGTGTTTCTGCTTGTCTTTTAGTTCATTCAGCTGTTCCATCAGTAGCAAGTGTATGAACAGAGTCTGCTGAAGTTAAATTTTACCAGTCCAGCTCATCAGCAAGTCTTCTTAGGTTGTGTGCATGATGCATAGCCTTTTCTACCAAATCATCATCAAACAGAGACAGATTGGCTAGCTTTTCTTGCAACTCCTTTTTCGCTCCATCTATTTCTGCGTAGAACCCTGACACATTCTGAACAAAATATGGAAGGAAGGAAGGTACATGAAAATTGTTAAAATCAAGTCTATATTGTGATCATGGTATTTTACCTTTTATATTATTATAATGTTGTTGGTTTATATTTGCTTGATGTTATATTTTTAACAGCTATAAAAAAGAGGAAAGATCAGAAAGAGTCTGTCCCGTGAATGTCAGTATGGCAAGACAAATGCAGGAAGATTCAAATAACACATTCAGATAAAATTCAGCAAAAATTCCAGGAATCCCTTAAAAAGATATTAGAGATGTATAAGAAAGACACATACATCTGAAGAAAGACAGCTGAGAAATGTCTTATCACCGTTTATGTTTGCTCGGGAATGGTGCCACTAAGCAGTCTTTCAGAGTGAAGTGCTAATAGGTGAAGTAATTAAACCAGATCTTTGCAAAAACTCCCTCATTGTGGTTCTTCTTAAATTGGGAGGTGAAACCCATAATTTTTAATTTCTCACAACACCTTGTCTCATTCAAAACACTGGATAGTTGTCCACAGTTCCAAAAGAAGGTTTCTGTAAGACAGTGTGTTTATGTATGTTTCACACTCTGGCAGTGTCTGGTTTTAACACTGATATCTGGGATCTTTAGGCTTCTCCTATGGTCAATTAAGGCATGAGAAAGATAATTTAGCATATAGTACAGCCTGTTACTAGAGCATCTCTTGACAGCTGCTTTTTATGAAATGATTGAGAACTCTACAGCAAAATCCTTCATTCAGCTCTGCCTACAGTAAGGTGTTCTTATAATTATTTTTCTGAGGCAGTAAAATGTAATTACAGGGCTTTTGATCCAGGAAAATCTACATGTTTTTGGGGGAATATTCACTAGTATTTAGTTGAAGCAGTATAAAAGAAGAGATGTTTTTATTTAGTTGTCTAAAACCATGACTTTTAAAAAGCTCAAAAAATCAGGGCACCATTTAAACAAGTCACTAAGGTACTTACCTTTATTACCTCACTTAATTCAGAGCTGACCTTTTGTGGTCCTGCCAAAATAGTTGTGGCACTTAGCAGAATGCTGTTCACTTCATCTATTTGCTCTTTTATTTTCTCATGTTCTTTCTAAAAAAAAAAAAGGAAAAAAAAATTAAATCACATCCAAACCCAAAAGTTTTTCATGAATTGCAAAAATACAGTGTTACCATTTTGTCATGTCATTAAAGTTAATTCAAAAGATGAAGTGCTAAACTAGATACATTTTAGACAAATTTGAAGTTTAGCTTTTCCCCAGACATCGCTAATATCTGCATATTATAACATCTCCTTGAATTTTCTCGTCTCTGTGAAAGAAATGTAGTTTTTATTTATGCAAATTAATTTCATTTTATATTACAGCATAAGCAATTACAGGAATGAAGCATTATTCAGTGCACTGCCAGCAGAGACAAATTAAATATGTAGACTAGGTTTTTTTCTGTAGTTTTTGTAAATCTACAGTACAGATATCTCTTTTCCTTGTACACAGTAAAACTAACGTGAACAATTTCTTTGTACAGCCTCTGCCTTCATTGTGAGGAATAATGAGGATCCAAGTGGTTAAAAACAGCAAACAATTGCGACTACACACTTCAGGCTTTGCTTCATAAATGTGAGATGAGCTGCAGCTCGGCACTGTAATTATGAAACAACAGCACAACAGAAGAGGCTGTGTATACAAGGATCCCAAGCTGCTTGTAGAATTCACAAGAACAGCACGCCTGAGTTCTCTGTTGAATTATTAGACCTTCCACATCAGCATGAACTTCTAGTGCCACAAATTTCAAGAGCTCAAAACTCAGCCCACTGATGCTATGAAACCCAATGGTTGGCCTGAATTTGCAAGATCATTCTCCAGATCACAAGACTGCTCCCTAAGCTTCTCTCCTCCAGAATCCAAACCATTTCAGCCGTTGAAATGAAAACAGTTTGCTTTAAGTGGTCCTAAACTCCTCTCTTTGTCATGTTCTTCCTTGCTGAAAAAATACATTATGAGAAAAATTTAGGTGGGACATTCTGGTTTTGCATCCCTTAATGGAAACTGAAGAAAACAGAAAGGGTCAAGAAACTTCTGGGAGGGGAAAAAGCAGTCTTTTTGTATGGCTGATGGATTATGTACTTTTCTGGGATAAGAGACCTGAAAATTCGATTTCCTCATCAGCCAGATGGGACTTGAACCTAATACTACCACTTAAGGGCAAACATGCCCCCCTTCCATGCTACAGGGGACAGGTCTCCTCTGAGCTCTCCTCTGGAGTGATTACTTGGCTCAAAATACCGAAATTGTTCATTTGAATGGAGCTCAAGGGAAAACTGCGGTAGCCTTTTAGCTAGGTTGTTCACCCAGCAAGTAGGAAACCCAGTTTCAAGGTATCTGTTGTGGAGCAGCTATAGAAGGGATTTGTGCTTGATGATGCAAGCATCTGCTCTTCCTAAAATAGTGTAGATACATTCTGTTTAAGGAAGACCAGAGACAAGGTTCGGATGAGACAGTATGAATGCACTCAGCCCAGGGCACGAATGCAGTACGAAGACTTCATAAATAATTGTTTTCATAGAATATAATTACTTTCGTGAGCATGAAGTCCTTCCACATTATAGATCGGCACATAATAGGTGAAACAATGCCACCACAATATTTATAGCAGCCATGCTACATGGAATTATAAGCTTCTTGGGTTTTGTTGTAATACGTTTTCCTAGTTTAGGCATTAGTATCCATCTTTTCCTTGGCCTGCTGAGACTTGGCATTTATGGTCACTCCCTGAATAAATAAAAGTACGTTGCACTTCCACAACTTGTTTCTTAGAACTGGAGAGTCAAACTCATGATGCTGAGTGGTCCAAGAATTTTTTTTTTTCTGTGCGATGATTGCACACAATCTAAATTGTGTGCAATCTACTATTTTAAGCACTGGCAGAGATGGAGTGTTCACAGGGAGCAGTTATGATAAGTGTACTGCATAATACCTCGCTCTTTTGAAGATTGGCTGTGTTTTCCTTATTTATATCCTCTGTTTGTATAACATAGTCAAGCGCCTGGTCTAATGCCTCCTCCAGGTCTGACAGCTTCAAATCCTGTTTGCTGAGCTGCTCCAGCACATCAGAGACGAGAGATCTGGTGTCATTGTACTTCTCGTGAAACTCTTCAACTTGCTGTAGCACTGAGAGAAAATTCAGAGGGCACTGATGAATACAAAGGTTGGATTTCTGACAAAACTTTCCTATGCAGCAATTTCTGTTGCTGTTACTCAGGGGGGACAGTAAAACACATTTGTTAAAAGCTCACTTGAGAGATCGTATACCTAGATTTTATTTTTCCCTCCTCTTTTTAACCCCATAAACTCCCCCTCTCAAGTAGCTTTTCCTAAAAGAAGCTAGGTTTGGCTTTCCTTGCTTGTTTGTCTCTTATTGTCACAGCTAACCAGGCTACTATGGAGAAGCCAGTCCTTCTGTCCTGGGGCTCTGGCTCATGCTCGTGGAACTGTGAGAAGCGAATCTGTCGCTCTTTCCCATGCCAGCAGTTCTTCTCTCTGCTGGTTTGCTGTCCCCATGGCAGAGGTGGCAGGGAGGAAGGAAGATATTCGCATGAGCAACCCCAGCCCTGGCACGACCCTTCCTAAGGAGCTATCGCTGATGTGCTGCAGTGCATGGGCACACAGAAACACACACGTTTTTCTGCCCATTCTGCTGTGGGGACAGCAAGGAGCAGAGACTTGGAGCCTGCATTTGGGAGCAGCAGCATCATCACACCAGTTGGTGCTCGCCCTCCCCGGGGCTCAGCAGTACCTCCAGATCTGCCCAGCCCGAGCCAGCTGTGCATCGACATGTGGGTGAATGGAAAACAGACTTAAAACTCACACTCCTCCGCTGCATTTTCCTCCTTGTCTGCAAGTTGCCTCTGATTAGTGAAAGGCTTGCGGCGTTTGATCTCCCTCAGCATCTCCTCAGCCACACTCAGCTTCTGGGCAATTTCTTCAGGGCTCAGCTCTTGCTGAATTGCGTAGTATTTCATCTTGCTGCTTATTTCTGTGGGAAAAAGGAACAGATGGTCAATCCAGCATGGCTACACAGAAGTAAATACTGTGGAGTCCTTTTACTTTTGTGAATCCAGACCATGCTGATGACATAAAAAAGCTTTAATTGACTTCCAACTCTATAGCAGTTAATTATTATGTTCAATACAGTCTTAAAATTAAACCTGTAAATAAATCACACTTTCTGGCATATGTGGGGGTGCCATCAGAAGAGGATGAGATTAAGCAGGCATGGGTAGTGTGCATTATTTGGCTTGGCAGTTCTTATAGGCTGGGATCATCATTTTATTCTGAGTTCTGTGGAGTGTAGCATGCTGGGGTTTTTATCCGGAATCATGGTTTCTATGTGCTGCTGCAAAAATGTTATTTTTATTGAATAGCAACAACGACAAGGAGACTGTAGTAACCTTTTTTTCCATGTGAAGAAGTCTGAGGCACCGTAAAGCGGTAACATATGGCTTCTGGCCTGATACTGCCTAGCTGGTTTGGAGATAGATACTATTTCAAGGTTTTGGTGTCAGTTCAAGAAACAGTGTTGGATCACTGCAGCTGAGATTGAGTTTACCCACCCCCAGTGTGGGCATTACGAAGTTTACCCACTCCTCATTCCCTGGACCCCAGCACCAACCACCTCCTCTTTTATGCCCTGCGATGTGAGTAGCTTTGGCTTGTGTTCATCCCTACTTTTGTGGATAACCAGAGCTGGCAAAGACAGCGCTATGCATCTGTAAGATTTTGGTAAAAATAGATGTGTAATTGAGGCACAACTAATTCTTTGGCAGTGTCTCTGTATGCAGTTTCTGGCTGGCTCCTGAGCTCATTAGTGAAGCATTAAAGGCTCATACTGAGCAGTAACTGGTTGCCACCAGCCGCTCGATGTATTTCTTTTTTCTTTTCATTCTGGCACGTCTGTGTGCGTATGTGCTGGATTCAGCCAGGAA